CTGGAGGCCACGTTAAAAAAAAAGAAGTTGTAAGGGTTCCTAATTGATTGAGAGAGAGAGAGAGAGAGAGAGAGAGAGAGAGAGAGAGAGAGGCTTTATCTATCCACTCTTTCCATCCATCTTTCTCCTTTCCCATCTTTTCCACATTCCTTGTTTTTCCTATCATCTTCTATTTTTCACATCTCTCCTTCCTTCCCTTCCAATCTATCCTCTCCCACCAACATCCAATAAACTGTCCTCCTCTCCCTTCCCCTCCCATCCTTTCATTTCCTATTCCTTGTCTCTTTGAACCCCCCCTCTTCCATCCCATCATTTCCGTCCCCCCTCTCCTTCTTTCCCATTTCCCTCTCCCTCAACAAGTCCTAATATAAACCTCTCCATCCCATTAAGTCTCTCTCTCTTTTTTGAAGATCTCACGTAACCTTTCCTTTCTCCGTTCCTCCTTGACATCTTGATCTAAAAAAAAATATCTGTCCTTCCCATTTTTCCATTCCTGTGACCTCATTTTTTTGTTTATCCTTCGTCCGTCTTTCATCTAGTTTTATTATTGTATTTTTGTCAATATCTCTCTCTCTCTCTCTCTCTCTCTCTCTCTCTCTCTCTTTCTCTCTTTTTCTCTCTCCTCTTCTTCCCCATCACCTCTGTCCTACTCCTCCTCTTCCTCTTCTCCATCCCCTCTCCTTCCCCTCTTCCTCTTCTCCTCTTCTTCTTCCATTCTCCCTGTTCCCATAAATTCCTTCTTTCTCCCTTTTAATAATCCATTCTTCCCCCCCCCCACCCTTATTTAAAAACTCCCTTCTTTCCTCCCCCTACCCTTCACCTTCCTCCCCAACCCCTCCCCCTTGTTAATACTCCTTTCTCCCTTTATTCCAACTCCCCTACCCTCTCCCTTATTCACCTTTGTTTATACCCCCTTGGTGTCACCATTTGAGGCGCCCCTGGAGAAATCACAGCCAGTAATCCACCATCTGAGGGAAACATCTTCGTCGTCGCCTCCTTCGGGACCTCCTCGCTGTGTTGTGGGGGCGTCCCTCTACTCCAAGGCCTGACCTCACTGACTGTCTCTCTCTCTCTCTCCCACACGATCTCTCCCTCTCTTTATAGTCACTTTCCCTTCCATCTGCCTCTCCCATAATAATTTCAATTAACTTAAGGCACTGAATGGAAAGTAGATATTGTCGTGTATATAGGGAAGTAGGAAAGTAGTTATTGTCGTAAGAGTAGTCCTCTGGGAGTCGAGTAAAATAAAGATATTACTTTCCTTAATGAGAAAGTAACGTAACTCTCTCTCTCTCTCTCTCTCTCTCTATTTTATCAGGAAAAGGAAAATACGTGATACTGAAGGAGAGAGAGAGAGAGAGAGAGAGAGAGAGAGAGAGAGAGAGAGAGAGAGAGAGAGAGAGTTTTTTTTTTTAGTTTAACAAATTTATTGACAAAGCTTGGAGTACAGTTTCCCTATTCTGAGTAACTCAATCAGGTCTTGACACTGAGGGTGGTATCACTTCTCACTGCCACGCAGGACAGAGGTTCATACACAAAGAAATACATCATATTCATTATGAGTATATATATATATATATATATATATATACTGTATATATATATATATATATATATATACTGTATATATATATATATATATATATATATATATATATATATATATATATATATATATATATATATATATATATATATATATATATATTCGTGTGGATGATATCTTTTCAGAGAGAGAGAGAGAGAGAGATAAGCCCCAAGGATAAGTCTCAAGTGTTTACCTCGACGCTTGAGTGAGGAGGAGGAGGACGGGTGTATGAGAGAAGACAAGAGGTAATAATTATTTATGTAATCTTGAAGTGTATGTGTGTGTGTGTGTGTGTGTGTGTGTGTGTGTGTGTGTGTGTGTGGTTAGGTTAGTTTAAGGGAGATCGGATATCCTCTCTAACCTTCCCTCTCCTTCCCTCCCCCCTATCTTCCCTTCATCCATCCTACCCTTTATCCCTTCCGGAACCTACCCTCCTTTTTACTCACCTTCCCATGACTCCCCCCCTCCCTCCCTCCCTCCAAACCTCCCACCATCCCAAGACAAAGAACCCATATTCAGGGACATATGGAGGAACATCTTCCGAAACACAAATGAAGAGAATAGGGGATTCGATGGTACCCACGAGGAGCTCGTCCTTGATGAACTCCGGGGCCAGACACACCGCACTCAGCCTTCCCCTGAAATCATATGGGAGGATCTGAGAGTGGACAGCCCACTGTCCAAACCAATCACCTCGGAAGAACTCAACAGAGCCATCTCCAATACCAAAAATAAAGCCCCTGGTCATTCAGGCATCAAAGAGGCCATTATTACTCTAACACCAAAACAAGGAAAGAACCCCGCCGTCCCACTGAGCTACAGACCGATCTCCCTCCTCGAAGTACCTGGAAAAATCCTAGACAAAATCATCAATAATCGTCTGAGAAATCATCTGGAAACAACAAACAGAAT